TCTTCAAGGGCCGCGACATCCCGAACGGGCGAGAAATCGAGCGAGACGTGGCCGAGATGTAGTCGGGGCGTGATGCTTTCGTGGGATGCTCAAATTGCTGAGCATTATGGCGCCACTCGCACCGGCGCGCCCCCCCCTCCGCTCCCGCCCTGATCCTGCAGGTACACCGAGGAGACCCTATCGCGCTGGCGCCGCGTGCGCAAGGCAATGGAGGAGGTGGAGGAGGTGGAGCAACTCTTCTCCAAGGACGCGGGGGGCGGCAAAGACGAGCTCAAGAAACCCGCACCAGAGGTCCAAATCTCCCCAAGCCCTCCGCCACGGCCGCACGCTTGAGCGCGCCCCCCCCCACCCCACTCCCCCCCTTCCTCGCGCCCCGGAGCACGACGCTCGCGTCGACGGGGGACGTGGGAGGGTGGGACCAATGGTTGCTGCGTCGGTGGGGTGGGTCAGAACGGTGAATGCAGATGACACCTCGTAATTATTGTGCTGTTGTTTTGTGGCGCGCGGGGTGTTGCTCTGTCTCGACGTGCGGAGCTGAAATGCGCGACCGGCGAGCGCCTTGTATCATATTATGTAGCTCGTTACCACACTCCAGAGTCTCCAGCCGCTCGCTATGAACGCTAGACTGTAGACATGCGGCGGCTCCTCTCTCTGGCGTCTGGGCTACTTCCATTTCACTGTGGCACAGCTCGCGTGTTACAAAACCTTGATTTTGACCATTGCGCGAAAAATGTACCTCTCGGTGCCTTCCAGAGGCAGCTGCGACCCCGCCGAGTAGACGGGCGCACACAGCAGGTGGCGCGGTGTGCGCCCCCGTCCACTCGGCGGGGTCGCAGCTGACTCGCGCGTCCTGGGGAGGTACATTTGTTGCGCACCGGAGACGACTCGACGCCGCTGAGATCGGAGATCAAGCTCTGACAGGTCACAACGTCGCTCCTTTGACGCCGACGTGACTCGCCCGTGCAGATCACATCAGGACACGGTCTCGACGCGCTCGGTACGACGCCTGCGACCCGTCTCGGGTCAGGTGGCACGACGCTCATCGCGCCTGCCAGCGCTGCCGTGCGGGTTGCCACGACGAGGTCGAGCACGCTTCTATACGCTCGCCGAGC